CCCTTTAACTCGTTTGAGTGATGGTAAGTTGTGCTTGAGTACCGTAGTGCATCAGATGTATGGATTCATTAATTCATTACGAATTGGGACCAATGGAGAGCTCCCAAGAGCCCTAGTATGAGTGAGCGGGCCATTGATGAATCAATTCTCACGCTTCTACGAGTAATACCTACCTAGTCATACCGGACAGAGAAAAGGTACCAGGAAATGACAACGAGGATGTCTACTCTGGAGAGGTATAGTATTATGTATATGGGCAGGTTTTACAGAATGAGATCTCAATATAATGCAATACCTTTCCTACATAGACATCGGTAGACATCGAACATGTTAGATTGTAGTATGATTATCTCGAGTCCTCTTTACTACCTGTATCTGTATCTGCATCTGTATCTGCATCTGTATCTGCATCTGTATCTGCATCTGTATCTGCATCTGTATCTGCATCCATAGACACCTGACATTAGACATTAGACATTAGACATTATACACCAGATATTAGACATCATTTCTTTCATCCAACTACTCGAGCGACCTACCACTACCAGCTGATTGACCAACGCAAAGGGCAAGCAGGCATCATGATCAACACCTACCTGTCAGAGAATCTACCCAGCCTGCCTTATCTATCCATATGCTACTCGAGTACATATATAGTAATCTTACCTACCTAATAGGTCAAAGGACGAATCAATCTTTACCAAGATGAGCCAAAATCAAAAGCACCTGCAACACAAGAAAGGAAAGGAAAGAATGCGAACAATGACTTCTCTTCTACCAAACCCCTTCCTTGTCCATCTCTTGTCTGCTTACTACGTATCAAGAAAATACGATGGATGTGGATTATATGGATTATATGGATTACATGAATTATAAATTATATGCATTATATGAATTATATTCTTCCTATTGCAGTCTAGTCCATAAATCTCAATATTTCAATAGAATGAAAAGAATCATTCATTAATCCAAAAATTAAAAGACAAGGTTTAATAAGAAAATTCCCTTTTCTCTCCTTTCAGATTTTGAACTTTGGTACCACCCTCCATACATTTTTCCCTTCTTCCCCCCTTCCCCCCTTTCATCATTTATTATATCACGATCCAAAAATATCTATATTTAGTATCTCATCGCGATATACTTTATCAGTCCTATCACTAGGTATCTATCAGTTGTACTTCAAAAGGATTCTCGAGAAAAAATTAAAGAGTAACCTCATCTAACCTCATCTAACCTCATCTCCATACTTTGACTTGGGATTTTCTTTGCAGACGGTTTCTCCAGACCTATATCATTGATCCAACTCCTCCTCTCTTCAAGAAGTCATCTCTCACGCACATCAAGCTTGTCCAGTTTTTTTGTTTAAAAAGGTGTCTTTTCTTCACGGCCTGTATCACTGTTTGCGTGCGGGTGTTTCGAGTTTTCTTCGCGCTTCTTCAATTGCCTGGAGCAAAAGCAAAAAAAAAGTTACAATCAAATCAGATCAAATCAGATCGAATCACATCCACTTGTTAACGCACCTTTTTCCTCGTCACATACATACGTCTGTCTTGTCAAAGGGACAGACTCGGTCGCAACCTTATTGACGACCCCCTTCATCAGCTCGACATCTACTTTTCTGTCACTGTTTTATATATCGACATTTAACGACCACGGCCAAAGTACATCTAAACTCTTATCCCACGTCAGACATATTGCTCCGCCGCTATTCATACAATCGATTACTGTATTCATTTGTGTTGCTCTATTTCGCCGCTATTGTATTCCAAAATTCACATTAAATTTCGGTTCCTTTGTCCCCTCAATATCATTCATTGATGACCACGATCCTACGCGACTCTTACAATCAGCGAGTTTTACTTCGAATAGTTCATCTCAATTACACGTCTGAAGCTGGACCAATTCACGCAATCGAATTTCATACCACAAGAACGGCGCGCCTCTGCCGCAATGGGGAGAAGAAAGATTGAGATCAAGGCTATCAAGGATGATAGGAATCGTTCAGTGTATGTTCTCTTTGTGCGAATATCATCCGCGGCGCAAAATGCTAACTCTCCTCTCCCAGGACCTTTTTGAAGCGCAAAGGAGGCTTGTTCAAGAAGGCGCATGAGCTTTCCGTTCTCTGTAACGTCGATGTCGCGGTTATAATATTTGGCAGCAATAAGAAATTATACGAATATTCTAGTGGTGATATTGGAGAGTTTATGACAAGATATCAATACGTACGTGTTCTACCGCGTCTGGCGCAAGGATTACAAGCTGACATTATTTGTAGTATGGAGGAGCCAACGAACACAAAGGACCTGCCGACTATTCGGGCAAAGGAAAGGGGATGGATGATGACGACGATGACGATGATGGATCTCCCCCTTCCCATCACGGATCAGTTGAACCAATGATGCCCCCTCAATTTCAACACCAACCTTATCAACACATCCGCCATCATACTCCATCTGCCTCGCCTCCAATTCCAAATGGTGTCTTTCCGCATCTTCAACAGCAACAACGACAACATACGCCACAACCTGGAATGGGATCCCGTCCATCATCTAGAAATGCTCCACGAAGACAAAGCTCCCTCGTACCGCATCCTCATGGCCCTCCTACCAACGGACAATTTGTTTATGCGCCAAATCCATCACCTTACAACCCTCAAATGACACCTGGTCTGCCACCACACGCGCATGGGCTTCCGCAGCACATACAAGGCCCCCCGCAAGGAATTCCCCATCCACATCAAAGTCCTGGACCACAATACACACACTTTGCACCGCAGCAGCACCCACACCACCTCTCTCAACACCCTCAACAGCATATGCAACAGCATCCACAGCATCCACAGCATCCTCAGCATCCTCAGCAACATCCTCAGCAACACCCCCAGCAGCATCCACAGCAACTGCCTCAACATTCTCAGCAACATCCTCAGCAACATCCCCAGCAACTGCCTCAACATCCTCACCCACAGCAAGTACAGCAGCTATACGTGGAGGAGCAAAGAAAATCTTCTGTACCGCCACCATTCCCACCACAGGAAAGGCCTGCATCCTCACGTGCAACTACTTCTCCTCCACAACCGCCGCAACAGCAAATGCCACAACCTCCACCACAATCGCAGCCGCCTCAGCCCTCACCAGAACAGCAGCAAACACAACCACAATCACAGATGCCAGACCCGGTCAAGCGTTTATCCGTAAAATCTAGAAGTATTTTCACGCCAATTGATGAGAGCCGATCGATCCTGTCCCAGCACTGGGCAAGCTCAACCTCCAATACTGACACCGTAAAGGAAGAACCCAGTGATCGATCTCAATCCGTAGATGTTACAGTGAATCGTATAAAGCCACCTTCGCCACCTCAGAGATCACAAACGCATAACAAAAATCGCAACATATCCATGTCATCCTTACCAGATGGGTTTACACCACCATCTCGCACGAACAGTGCTCAGTTGAGTGTTGGTGGTGGTAAAAGGCCTGTGTTGAAAGTGCAGATTCCGGAAGAGGCATCGGATAATGGCGGATCTGCCACTGCGGAAGATCTCTCATCCCCAAGATCTGCGAGTGCCGCTAATCCTCAGGCGCGTCGCAATGGCGGTGATCATGGCGGAATGGTACTACCACCACCTTCGCCTTCCGCCTCGGCTCTATTGTCAGCCGGCGCATCTGGGCCACCTAATCCTTTTGCACGACCGCATCCTGTTACACAACCTTCTCAAGGATCCAATGCAAGTGGAAATAACAACAACTCGAACAACAATATAATAGAAAACGTAACACCGGTTTCAGCTCTTCCATCGCGGTTCATGAACAACGAATTCCTCCCTAGTCCTTCGTCATTTTTTGGAAATCCTAGTTGGGATTACGGTAGAGGTGGTGACTCAAACACATTACCAAGTCCTCTAAATTTTGCAACTCCTGTTGTGGGCACAGGTCCAAGTTTTCTAAGAGACGATAATGGTGAAAGGGGCGGTAAACGAAAGACCCCTGATCAAGATGAACATCTAGAAAGCGGAGATCAAAAAAGAGCGAAGCATGAAGGATAACTTGGGCCCCCTTGACTGTAAGGGTTTGGAGCATGAATTGCTATGGATATGAACTTCACGAACATGGGCATTTGGTTGTGGGAAATCTAAATTAAAAAAAAAAGATAATGTCTTTCTTGTGGGCGGAACAGGACTCGTCTCAAATTTCTTGAAAAGGGCCTATTGCATTATATTTTGGGAAAGGCGTTTTCTTTTTTTCTCTTTTTCTGTGATACACTTTTCATGTTTATTTTGCCTTTTTCTTCATTCATGAGAGGATTCTCTCATTTTCTATTCATGCATTCTTACTGCAACCGCCATCCATTGTTTCATTTGATAGGCTTTAAGAAATCGCTTGTGTTTATGATGCGAAGTTTGACATCTGACTTGTGAGATGGCACTGGATGGTAGAGTTAGCATTCTACTCCTTTGTAAATACCCTTGGGATATGTGGAGGGGGCATTCTTTGCGTGGTGGACTGTTTTTTTTTTTTGTTGGTCGATTTTGGTAGGGGTTGTGCTTAGAGAACAAAGGATGGCTTTTGATGAAGTAGTTAAATTGGGGCTTACGCAGTTGTGTGAGAGATGGGGTTGTAGGAATTGGTAGTAGAAAAGTAAGATAGTCGAGATTATGATATAGGTAGTGGAGATAAATGAGAAGACAATTGATCAAAAAAATACAGTGATGAGATGCCGTACTTCTTTCCTTTCTATTCTGCATTGATTTTGAGATTCTTTGTTGGTTCTGATGGGATGTAGTATCTCCGTGGTTAGGCTACGATGGCAAATAATCATTCATCGGTTGTGCAAAATTGTCACATGTTGATGTTCATATTGTTCCCCTTTAGCGGCCTAAAAACCAAGAAAATTTAAAGTCGTCAAGCCGAGCATTCTAATCTGGCTATACATGCAGAAATCCTCCTACAAATAGACAATCAAGAAAAGAACTCTCATTTGTCGATCCACGCACCCACGCACTAGAACAAACGCACCGTCAACCCCGACCCCGCATCGATTATCAACGTCGCAGCTGGGCTGCACAGAAAATGAATGGCGTCAGCTACCTCGTCGGGCTGCGCCACGCGCTTCAGTGGCACGGCAGCTTGCACCATGTGCTCGAAGTGCGGGTTGAGGGCTGCTTCGTGCGTATTCATGGGGCCGGCTACCCAGGTCGGACAGATGGCGTTGATGCGGATGCCGTGGGGGGCATAGTCGACTGCTGTTGAGGGGGAAGGAGGGGGTTAGTTCTGTGCAATCGTGAGGGGTATGAATAATTATGGATAACACTCGAGTAGGTATGCAAAGGATGGATGACTTACCTCCGGATTTCGTAATGCCAACCACGGCATGTTTCGCGATGGTGTAGGCGGTTTTCCCGGGAAACGCCACGACGGAGTTCGCGGAGCCGAGATTCACGATGCAGCCGCGTCCGAGCGAGCGCGCGGTGTAGCGGCCTTGGTAGGAGAGAGGTTCTTGGAGGAGCATGGCGCTTGCGATGGCGCGGTTGCAGAGGAGCGTGCCGCGCATGTTGGTGCTGAGGATGTGGTCGAATTCGGAGAGGGGCAGGGAGCCCAGGGGGGAGGAGGTGCTGGTGCCGATCTGGTGGGAGGGGGGGTGTTAGTGTTAGTGCGGGAGGGGAGGGGTGGAGTTGGGATTCTTGGGGGGGATTGAAATTGAAATTGGAAATGGAGATGGAGATGGAAATGGATCATACACCAGCGCTATGCACGTAATAATCTATACGGCCGAATTCTTTGATGGCTGTATCGACCATTTTCTGCACGCTTTGCTCGTCTGTCACATCGACGTGGATGGAGAGGATACGACAGTCGGGGTTGGATGCGTAGGATTTACATTCTTGCGCGGCGGATTGGGCGGATGAGAGAGAGAGGTCTGCGAGGAGGATGCCGGAGGCGCCGGATTTGGCGAAGGAGAGACAGGTATTTTTGCCGATGCCGCCGCCGGCCTGGGGAGGGGGGTTAGTGGGAGGGTGAGGTGAGAGCGGGGAGAGGGTGAGGGGACGAAGGGGCGGGTTTAATGGGTTGGTGGGATACGTACTCCGGTGATGACGGCATAGCCGCTGGTGATTTTGGATGTCATGCTGGGGTGGGATATGTGTGGTAGCGGTGAGGCTATGGGTTATAGTGGAAAAGTGAGAGGAGAAAAGACAGGATATATAGGAGGAGAATAGTCGCGAGGGATAAGGAAGAAAGTTGGCAAGGAGAATCTACCGAAAACAGAGAATGTGCACGAGATTGGAGAACAGCGTATTTATACCGCGAAGGAAAAGTTTGCGGTGCCCGTTGCGCCATGTGTAATGAAGTGGTAGTGCGGGGGTTAACTTTTAGCATCGAGTTGGTTTGATGTGGAGGGGAAATAACTGTTTGGAGAGACAGGGGTGGAACAGGAATGATTTTAGTTGGGGATGGGTGAGCTTATGTTATGCGGTTGATGGGATGGGGATGGGTAGGTTTGAGTGGATGTGGGAATGGGAATGGGAATGGGAATGGGAATGGAATGGGAATGGGAATGGGAATGGAATGGGAATGGGAATGGGAATGGGAATGGGAATGGGAATGGGAATGGGAATGGGAATGGGAATGGGAATGGGAATGGGAATGGAGGATTCCAACATGGAGTTTTAGAGGGGAGAACGAGTGTTTGAGTGATCGGAGGAGCCGAATGTTCCCCCATCCGAATCTATCCATTTATCATGATGATATCATCATATTACATCCTATCCCATCATGAGCACTATACAGATACCTCGACCAAGAATATCAGATATATATTCTGATTCTCTTACGCGATTCATCTCGACCTGTATCCATCCTGTTCTCATCCCCATCTTTACACGAAAGGAAATACACGCTAGCTGGCCATTACAGCTCGTAAGATTACACATCTCTCTCTCCGTACCTAACCAATAAATAATAGAAGTAGCAGCGTGAGCGGCACGTACATATATGTAATAGTGGGTTCTCCGAGTATCAGACTAAAATATTACAGTGGAGGTTGCAACGGTTGGTCTGCGGATCCAATATTTGTGTTTGTGTTTGTGTTTGTTGGTGTGGGCTGAGCTGATGATAGCGCATCTGAGAATTTTGGAGTAACTGCGGGAATGATGGATTGGAGAGTGGAGGGGAGGAGGGAGGGGTTATTGAGTGGAAGATAAAACGTGTTATTGAGGCGTGTGGTGGTGATGGTGTTGAAATGGTGTCTGTGTAGGACTCTACATCGGCTGGCAGAGTAAATTCCGTGTGATAGTGGTAATCGATCCGTTCGGATATTGTACGGTTGGAAGGTCTACTTGACCTGCTCATTCAAGTCCCAATTATTCAATCAATCTGGTCAATACATCGTGATTGATAGTATATCCGCCATTATCTCCGGAACACACCTCTATAGCTTTGATAGCACTATCGTAGCTGGTAACTCGCAGTCCACCGTTATCGAGGACTATAATTCATCTCAGATATCAAAATTTTCCGAATTGGTTGTATCTAATGCATTGGGAAACTTAGCAATCATTCTTCATTGGTCTGTGGAACTTTGTTAGCGTACCTATAATTCTGTTTGCACTTACATTCTGAGATGCAAAATCTACGGCATGTTTGACATCAAGAGGATTCATATAGTACATGACGTTGTCTTCGAGGTTGGTAGTGTCTTCTGTGTTGCTGTTTCTAGCTTTGATGGCTTGGTTGTGGATAGAGATATTTAGTGAGTTCTATGGCTTTTCAGTTCATGCTAATTAGTGATTCTTTGCTGCAGCCTTGCTGTATATGTGCTTTTACGGAAATTGAAGTGCATGCCTATGCGTGCTGAAAACTTTTCTTCTCATCCTCCTATAGCGTAGGGGAAACGACTGAATTCTCAAGCTTCTTATCCTTTCGAAGGCTATTATTCTGCTTCTCTTTTATCTGGGAGAGAAGAGGAGAAGAAACTCAAGCGCTGGTACGCTTTCCATGTAGGTCGCTTGAAACATATATCAATGATGGCTCATTCTGTTCTGTGTATCCCAAGTCTACCATCCTTTCATTGAAGAGAGATCAAAAGTATACCCCCTTGGCTCATCCCAAAACCGATGCATTCCACATTTCAAATCCTCAGCTTTTGCGAATTTGTCTATCTCTTTGAGACAATCGCTTGTTCGATTCATAGATGTCGCAGACATCAACGATGATAGGTACCCACATACTAAACTCCATCGTAATTTTAATTTACAATAGTGAGTAACGTCCATATAATCTGATATTGTGGCAGATGGTTGACTCTCAATAGTGTGATTCGCCATTGGAAGCTGGAGTCAGACTACCGCCCTTCACTATCCTCGAGTGACAGCCACCTTTCTCAACGGGGCTCTTCTATCAATGCTTGGCTACCGTATAGCTTTCGTATTTTTTACATGTAGATTCGTACAACGGCGTGATTCTCTGGTAGGTTTCGCAAATACTGATACTTTGTTCGACTCAGTGGCGGAACTTTGGTGATCATTGGTTCTGTTCTGATGTGTCAGTCTTACGAATGAATGGACTACAGGAACTGATGGCTATCAACATCTCAGAGGTTTAGTAGCGCTCAGGATATTTGCGATATGAGTTTATAGGCATACTATTCTTATTGTTTTTGAAGTTGGTGCATTTTCTCGGAAAATCTTTGCTGTATTGCAAGCTCTTGTGTCGCACAGGAAACAAATATTGTAGAGAAGACAGACGATTTCATCCACCAGAAGATTGTCTTCGGGTTTGACTGGCTGGACATAGGACAATCCACAGTCATCGACCTCCTGCAATAGATGCAACAATTTCCGAAAATGAAGCGATCAAGAAACTTTCCAATCTTCTGCCTACTTTGAGAGAGAAAATCTATAGTTCGAGGTATGGTTACCAGCACTGATGGCGCTTACTCTGAATCACTAGATTCTATAAAAAGAAAGAGAGCAACAGCAGTGATAGTTGATGCAATAAATTAAGCCTGCACCGACGTTATTGCTGTCGGAAATTTGACATTACTCTTTCTTTTTCTTCCTGTAAGTCATATTCGAACCCAATTAAACATATAGAGCACGATTTTTTTGGTGGGAACAAATGACTCGTAGATTGGCTACAAGTGAGAATATAGTGGTCAAGAGGATCGTCCATCAAAAGCAATGAATGTCTGACAAAAGCAAGCTAGCCATTCCAAGATCAAATCACTAAATGCATTGTCCATGCCACGGTGTAGAGCAACAGCTTTCGGAAGCTTGACAATCAACACCTGCAAGAAGTGGAAACATTTAACTTTAAATGTGCCTAGGTAGGTATTGAAGCCAGATTTGAATATCGTTAGCCTCAAATGTAATGTCCACGGTGTGGCTCAAGTGTAGCGTTCTGACCTTTGATCAATGCATCGCTTGGGTTTGAAACAACGTGAATAAATCAATCTATACTCGATTTATCTTGAAGTATGAATTCATCTCCACTCACACCAATATTTGAAAGTCCTTTTTGAAGCCTGAAGAATTCCGTCGGAGATCGAATGGAACCCAAAACCAATGCACCAGTACGAATGAAGATTCTCTTGGACTCTCTTCATTACCTTGCAACCCAATTTTTAGGTCATGTGACCATACAGAGGATGGTTGGAGGAGAAACCTTATGAGGAAATCAATTATTCCTTCCTTTAGCGTAGCACGGTGTGAATAAGTGCCAAGTCGGATCTCCCCAAATAAGCTTCTTTAGCTGCTCTAGTCGTGTTTATCACATTTGACTAGTCGGGACGAGCCGACACACAGGGCTTTAGATTCAGGTACATGTGAATTGCCGATGCACCAAGTCCTGATATGAGTTCAAAGCAAAGGCAGAAGTTGCAAAGTCGAATGCTCAGGGAAAAGCATATTGAAGGCAAACCAATAGTCACGATGAAACAAAATTCATATAACGTTACTTGGCACAGGAAAGTTCTCGAGCCTATTTTAGATAGTGGCTTGTAGCTGAATAGTCAACGAGCTCGATTGTCCCGGGAAGGTGCACGAGTTGCACATCAATCTGTGCTACCGTTCACAAGAATTCGATACTTGGGAAACTTTCCGGAAATTATGGACTCAGCATTTGTATCTCTTGGGTACTTAATCCTTCGTCCTCACCTCCATCTCAACTCTTCACTTCATCAACATTCATTCCATCAACATTCACTTCATTAACATCCTCTCCATCTTCAATCCATATCAAAAACCATCACAATGCAGATTCCAGCAGTTCTTCTCACCCTCGCTCTCCTCCCAGGAGCCTTGTCCTGGTCTCCATTCGCTTCCTTGTACAACCCTACATCAGCACAATACGTTTACTCGCCCATTGAGCAAATCCGTTATACACTCGCTTTCGAGACCTTTATCCTCGATTCAAAGAACTGGACTGCCTTAGAATTTGTATACACAAATGACGCTATTGCGAACTTCACTGGCTTGGGAGCCGAACTTTGTATGTTGTTTTCTTTTTTCCACGCGCAGCTTTCAAGTCTACTCAAAAGCAAGCCTTGTGGCTCATTTCTTCCCGACAAAGAGATGGCTATAGTTCTTGCGGAGCATTGAAACATGTGAACAATAGAAGAAATGACAAATGAGCTAACAATTACTCAAAGGGATCGGAAGAGACGACATTATCGCCAACGAAAAGAATGGCTTAGACCACGTTGCAAATGGTGTTCATCAGTTGACAAGTAGTGCTATCTTGATCAACCAAGCAAACAGCAGCGAGGCTCATGTTACAACCTAGTATGTATTGCCCTTTTTCTGATGTGCATTAAGACTAACAAACCTTAACAGCATCACATTCAACCATTTCGACACCAACACGGAAGGAACAGAAACACATGTTTTCTCCGCATGGTTCAAGTTTGAAGATGATTTTGTTGACACCAAATCCTTTGATGGAACTCCAAGTTCATGGAGAGTACAGAATAGACAGATGGTCTTGGTTGGCGGAGGAGTTGGAGATGATCTTGCCGTTGAGAGACCTTAGATGACGCAAGGAGAGGATATTGGAGGAGACAGCAATGTTTGCGTAAAGCGCAACAAAGCTAGAGTTGTGAGATAGAATAGGAGGAATGATGGGATGCAACTAAATTCATGGTGGCAACGATATCAGCCGATTCGTAATTTTAATACAATACTTTTACATATATTGGAGTGCATCATGCTTTCTCTCACGTTGTTTGGATCCAAGAGCGAATCGTCAAGTTGAGCTTCCGAGATCAGTCAGAAATGAGACTCAGCCGCTTTCACCTGATCTCGTCATGGCTCGATAGAAGCGAATCGATTGGTTTCCCATTAGGTATGTATTCCCAGCAACTACGATACGATATCACAAAATCCTAGCATAATCTCGTCGGATATAATAGGTCGAATGATGCATAGCCGAGATTGACGACCCAAGGGATGGCAACGAGGTTTATGAAACAGCGATATTAGACGAGACAGCATGGGAAACTTTTCGGCGAGTGGGAAAGATTTCATCCTCCCGCAAATTTTCTTCTAAATCCTTGTTCCTGTTCTCCAGTTGATTGAAGATGGAAACTTTCATGTTTCATATGGCCAAACTTCGAGAGCCTTAGATTAGATGGGTTTATATTGTTTGAAATTCTGTCTTGATGACAAATATTCTCTATGTTCTACTACATCATTAATTCGTATCCAAATACTCTTTTTGCTAATGTTCCCTTCGTTCCTGGTATATTACTTCCTTCCTTTCAAACTCCGATATACTCCTCATTCAGTCCTCACCACATCCGCTTACCGAAAAATTCGATTCAAAGTTATTAGCATTTAGCAAACGCTTGTGGCATACGTCACAACACTATTTCCTCAGATGTTAGCAATGATTCTACAAGCTTCATTTCGCATTACAATTGCTCCATATTGACCAAAAGATAACTTACAGCTCATCATTCAACGCCGCACTATCACATTAACATTGCGTCTGCTACAATCCCAAACTGTCTTGGTATGAGTTTCCTTGGCGTAAGTCCCGTAGTCGATATTTCATCCCTCTTAACTTTCTTTCCCTCTTCATGAACTACAGGAGTCACCTTCTTCGGCGTGAGTCCTATAGCCTGCACAGGTATTGGTGGAGCTTCTTCCCTTTTCACTCCCTTATCCCTATTGTGATCAAACTTTGGACCCTTATTATGCGTCGCGTAATGTATCCGCGGATATGGAGATCGCTCTGCTCCCTTCAAAATATCTAGACGTACGCCGCCTAGCGCCCCGATAAGTGATACCAAGCAAAGAAGGCAAACGAGACCAAGTAGTACTTTGGATCTGGAAGGTAACTTCTTGATTCTCGTTAGAAGATTTCGGAAAGAGGTACTAGTCTTGATGTGCGAAGATTGAACGGAATTCAGGAAGGAGTTCTTCCAGTGTGTAGTCTTGTAGTATACAGGCTTGTGTGGGTCTTCTGAATCGGATATGATAATTTGAGGTGGGATTTGAGGTTGATTGTGCGTAGGGAGCGTACTGCCAAGCTGGCGGGAAAAAGTGCGTGCGTGAACCATTGGAAAGGTAGGGAGGGAGGAGAATCAGGTCAGGTAAGTTGTGGTTGTACCTATGGAGTTGAGGGAAGGCAGGTGAGATTGGATTTGGAAAAGATTGGCGGACACGATTGAGATAGGACTGATATGCAAATAAAGTTCAGATTAAGGTTGCCTGGATTAAAAGTAAACAATGGGGTATATAAATGGTACAATTCCAGATAAATCTTTACAATGAAAGTATGAGAAACTAGGAGGAAGGGAAGGAGAGAGAAAATGAAGACAGGATGAACAGCACACGAACCCAACCAAACAAGCTTCAATTGAAATCAAGCAAAGAAAGGGATGGAAAGGTCTTTTTCATCCGATCTTCAGTCCTAAACATTTGAAAGTCCAGAACCAATCGAACCAAGTCACAATGATCCACTAAGATCCAATTTCATTGAAATTCATCATCATATGGAGATCCAAGCTTAAGCTTCTTCCAAATTTATCTCCCTTTCAACGATTAGCTCCACAGCCTCCACTTCATCTAACCATTCCGAGCCACTCTGATATTCGTTATCAAGGCGAGCACGGCTATCAGCTTTTTTTCGAGCCAGGAACATAAAATGATATCCACTTTGATCGATTGCCAAGATTCCTTAAAGGGAGATGGTATGGATTGAGTGTAATTTGAAGCCAGCGTTTCATCAGCTTCTTTACCGCTAAAACGGTTGAAGTACCGGTACCGAGTGATAGATTTGTTTGTGAACGTCTCAGTTTGTTTATTAAATAAACCCTGACGACGTGTAAGGGATATGTACGAAAATAGAGCTGGTGATATTGTAAGATGTCATTGTAGTTTGCGTCGAGTATTACTGATGATGGGTGTCCACAGTTCAAATTGAGTTGAAAAAAGTTTGAGGGTGCAGCAACATATAGGACAGGAGCGTTCGGAAGTCAAACAATGTCCATGGCCTAATTTAAAGGTAATCTCCACAGGCTTACGACCCCGTGGCAAACTCAAATTCGAACAAACGCGCATGACATTCTGTAAACCTCAACTTGGGTTATTCAGATACTAAAAATAATTGATCCAAATCTTCATCAATGCATAGAGGGTCTTATTATTCAGACCCTATTGCCGTCATGTGATGATATCAAATATACCAGATTGGAATAGCAAAACTTCTGAGAATGCAAGCGCTGGAGGTAGTGGCTATACTACAAACTCGACTGGCATTCCTAAGAATGAAAAGTGCGATGGAATCACCTTAGGAGAACTAATGAGGTTATAATTGATGGATTTATAAAATCTTCCATGTTTGTGCTTATGTGTCCATATGGTCAGCGGAAGCTTCATGACCTCTTACCATGTGTTGACTACCGGCGATGTCGAAGCAACGAGATGCGGTAGATTGCATGGCATTGTTATTTGACATTATTTACAAGAGCGAATAAAAGTGTACCAACTGTTGTTCGAATGCAGTCGTGTATGTTGGCTCTAGTGAGCATGCAACATCAACAGTTGGTAGTGGCATTTATCGCATGTACATGGCCATCGGATTCCAGAAAAGAGTTGATTCTCACGGCGTTTCCACGCACCAAATTCCAGGCATACATAAAATCCCAAAACATAAGAAGTATTAGACTGGCGTGGCTTTTGTGTCCTGTTCTGTTCTGAAATCTCAATACATATCTTACTCGTATTCTGATTTTAAATTGCCATCAATAGTCCTTTTCCTTGTATGAAGTGGCTGCGATGTGGCAATTGAAGTATGCCTACAAACCGACCTTGACTACCTACCCATCGGGATATATTCTTCAATCTTCTTTCGTCTCATGAAGTTTCCGGATCACGAGAAGCGTTCGAACTCATCTCCAGTATAATCGAGCCATTTTGAAGCCTGGACTGAGATCCTTCGTTTACTGATCTCACCAGGAATAATGGAACGTTGCTCAATACACTAGACTAGATTGGATGAGTAAAAACAATTTCACACTGATATTGATAGACCAACAAGCACATAGACGGAAGAGAGAATTCTAAATTCTTCTACCCTCTACATCCATCAAAAGGTCCAAACCCACTAGCTTTAAACCGAATTCGCTACTCATATGATCCGATTGCGTTTCGACATAAGCGGCCAGTTATCTTTTCCCTGGACAGCTGCCCTCGTATACTGTAGGCTGTCCAGTGTCTCAACATATAATAAACCACACAATACAGACGCCTGAGTGAAAAACGAGTCCAACCTACCCAATCGCATCATAACGAACCTAGGTATTCATGATGCGTTATACCGGGCCATCCTTACACATCCCATCTCGAATCGAAACAAAATAAATTGAACATGCACATCACTTTCAGACCGACTTTGTAACGGTAATATACACAGTGGTCGTCGGTCCACAACCGATGCCGCAGGATATAGATGAAGATGAAAGCCGAGAGGAAGAAAACGAAGAGGATCTGGCAGATGTCGTGGACGTAGTCGTAGAGCCAATCAGGGCAGGCACCAGCGACGAGGACGAAGATTTAGTGTTTGATGTAGAAGACAAAGGGGTAGAAGACTTCGTTATTACTAATGCGAGGGAAGAGCTTGTCGAAGTGGTTATCAATGACAAGGCAGTGGAAGTTCTAGCTGTTGACGTAGAGGATGAAGAAGAGGATAAAATGGTAGAGGCTCTCGTTGTAACTATTGTGGGAGAAGAGCTCACCGAAGTGATTTTTGATGAAGAGGAAGTTGGAAGGGTTGAAATTCTACCTGTTGATGTAGAGGATGAAGAGCGAGGTGAGGATGTAGAAGATCTAACTGTTGGTGTAGAGGATGAAGTGGTTAAAGGTCTAGTTGTTGAAGTGGCGAGAGGAGATGTCGTTGAAGTAATTGCCAATGCAGGAAGGGAGGCAGATGAGGTTGTGGAACCTGAATAATTCAATTAGCGTTGGCTCATGAGGCTGGAAGAGGAAGTTTTGTATTGTAAACTATCTGTCATTCTGATTGAGAGCGCAAAGTTGAATAGATTACTTACTTCTTGAAGAAGATGTGAATGAAGAAGATGTGGACGAAGAAGACGAGATTCTCACCGAAGGAGTTGGATAGACCTTTTTTCATATTAGCATTTTGATTCAAGGCTTGATATCAATATGCTATTATGAAAGATTAAGACAGCTACTAACCGTATAAGATGATGTTCCATAAGAAAATGCTGGACTCGGGCAACCTCCTGTCATTGAAGGAACTCCATCGGTACCCGAAGTAATGGGAACAATATTTGATCCGCAATTCGCAGCCTGCGCAATGTGAACATTTGCGTTGTCCTGATCAAACACCACATAAGCACCTCTCATGAAGGTATCTCCCAAAATCACATCCGTTTTTTCGGCGGCATTAGCAATAGGTCCATAGCATGTAGCACCATTGAACCATATGAATTGAGCTAATTGGATCCGGATGATCTGCCCCGCGAATCCAAAATCCATCGTCCCTGCAATATTTCGGAAGCTACAAGGTATGGTATATAGGCCACCCCCTTTACTGACCCATCCTGGAAAATAAGGGAGCATGGCGTTGACAAGTGAAGGTGGCAAATAACTCAATGTACTTCCGGAGTCAACAATGACGGGTTTCGCATAACCGGTAGATGTCAAATTCGTCGGTAGTTGACCTGGAAATGTAATACCAAAGTACGTCATATTGATCCAATATCTAATTTCAATACTGTTCAGTAAGACCGTCCAATACGGAGGACAAAAATCAAAAAAGCAATTACCTTGGATACCCATCAGGACTTTGATAAAATGGTATAATGGGATTTTTAATCAGTGAGCCGTAGTACTTCTTTGTATCGAGACCGCCAAAGATAATGGAGCCTATAGAATTAGTCAACCAGTACAGTCACGGAAACCTGAAAGTCATACCTGAAGCTGTATCGACATTGCCCAAGTCTATGGCAAATGCACGAGTTTTTGTCAGACCTTGCAAGGCAAGTTGATCAATAATATTGTAATAACCAGTTCCAAGGCCAAGTCCCCAGGATACACCCATTATACCCGCAAACATTCGATTACTGCCTGATGCAACACCAAATTGAAGTTTTTTAAGGGTCGGACCTGACCCCATCCTAAAATTCGTCAAATAAGCACCTGGGAAAGTGGAATATTCACCAACATAAAATTGTCCGTCGCATAAGCTCCAGTGACTGCACCGATACCATATGCTATATTCAAAGCTTGACTCAACGGTACGAAAGAGGTAGATTTCGTAGGATCGTACTGAGGATAACTGGCGCAAAATGATGCCCACCCCGACGTAGCGCACTGTGGATTCACCCAAACATCACTGCTTCCTGTATCGATACTGAGGGTTATAGACTGCGGAGGATACCCAATCTGCACTACTTATGATTAGACAACAAAATCGAGGCTACGCTTGATATAACATACCGGTGATCATGTAAATATCTCCAATGTAAGGGTTGGCCAAATTTGACTTGGATTGTCGTTTTCGAACATTTGGAACTCCCGCAACTTTAGTCACTCCTAGCTGGAAAACTCCATCATCAACCATCCGGTTTGGTAAGACTTTGGCAGTTGCATTGTTTCAAAATCATCTTCAACATCAAGGAAGGCCGCTACCGCCACTGCCAAAAGAAGCAACCATGTAACCATGGAGAACATTGTTAAATCTACAACTCAAAGAGAGTCGTATTGCCAAAAAATTGCGATGTCCTCGGCTATATGTATGTTCTTCAAAGTCTTACACCATCTTGACATTCCCCGCATTGAAAAGCCTCATACCTGAGTTCAACACCAGGACCTGAAAGCCAACTCAAGACATTGATCTTCGGAATCAAGATATCGCAGTGATTTAAAAAGCCCCTCGTACCATGTGCGCAGTAATAGCACATATGAACTAGACGCGGAAGAATGCATAAGACTAAACTCCCTTTTCCAGAATTGAGGAATGATAACTTTTGAATGTGGCGTAGAAGCAGGAAGGATTTAAGAAGCATCTGAACGCCCCAGAAGCATCTTCGCCCACTGGATAGCTCACTCCAAATGAGGTCTTTATATATCCTTCCCGTGAGCAACGCTTCAAATCGAGAGCCGCAACTCTCTAAATACAGGAAAAGGAACAAATACTCTACCAAAAATCACACTTTATTTCGATATTCTTTAAACTGCAAGGTGGAATGATAATCACCAATTCATGCTCACAGCAACCATTGCACGAAAAAAATAATCATCCCAAACGCTTAGCATGACAATCATAATCACAGATGTTATGACCGAAGAATTCTTTGAAGGGATTACCAACTTGCTGGGACGCACGAGTGCTCAACACTGGTTAAGATGAGATCTGAGCAAGTAAGGTGTTGAAATGGAATTTGTACTTCCTCCACTCACAAAGGACTACACTAAAGAAATTCCTGCTCATGGCGCATTGAACTAAAGATCGGAATGTAAAGAGAAAATCTTGACATGTTGCGTAGCCGCCCATCCGTGGAATGAAATCTGGATCAATCTGTTGGAATAATCGCGGTATCACGTGCTACATCATCTCACTTTACTAAAATTAGTTTAGACCGAAAAGCAAACTCTGCATTTCGCTTAGTAATTAGCGCAGATCACCATTGCAGCTACAAATATTCAAATTTTGCGCAACAATTTTCTTTTCTTCTTCATCAAAAAGTATCAGAGCCAGCCACGACCTCCACCTTGACTTCAAAACAGTGGTGTGTTGCCAGCATTCTTAACTGAGTGTGAGGCTCTGTAGAGGAAGCAAATCCTTAATAGGAAGTTCGTTTTCCGTGTGTCTTCTTAATTGAGGGCGAGGGGATCCGAATGTCGAAAGAGAGGAAACATACCAACATAACATTTACCCTTTACTTTAGATGGAATGCAACTTGACGTATGTTGAAAGGTTCGAATTAGATCCCTTGTTGGACCACGACTCAACTGTGTCAACATATCTCGGAGGAAACAATTACGTGCATTGGTGCATTCCACAATGTAGATACATTCCATGATTCGCGATCCAGCCATTGCCATTCAGTAGTACACAATTTTCTCATTCTTGATGATTTTGATATCTACCTACCTACTTGATGTAAAGATCTTACCTGCCCTGATTTTTGTTCCTATACCCAAGACCATTTGTTACCAAGAGAAAAAATTGAGCTCCCGCGAAATTCTCAAACATGAGTCTGAATTGAATCGGATAGACCACTGTCCACTGGTGTCTGCGAGTATACTTTACGTATAGAGTAGTACAGGCCTTCAATCTTTGACTCAGATTCATGAAGAACAGGTAAGGACTACATAGGGAAGAAAGACCTCTGTTGTTGCACTTATTAATCATGGCCAGCCAGCAGTAGCTGTATTGGAAAGCCGCACATATGTGTGTGCCTGCAGAGCCACGGATCCATCACTCCCCTTTTCCCTGTTGCAGCTTGAACGATTGTCTTCAAAGACGCCGCACCGGCTCCCACTTCAAGCACGAAGAGCGCATTTATTTCACCTCATTGACTACTAACTCATAGACGATCCAGTGTAGGAAAACATATCTCTTGCCATTGCTGAAATACTTGAATGTCAATGCAAACTGGCGGGCATTCCTCCTGAGTAATTAGATATCCACTGTGTAGCTCCATGTAACCAACCCAGATCATGATGGAACCTCAAGACCCCATACCATTTTGCGCCATACCACCTCCATTCCTCTCCCAAAAACGCCCCAATCCCTAATTCTAGGTAGTCATCCTTTTATATAATGAATTATTTGTCGGCAGCTGCGACGTCACCGCTGACCATCTTTCGTAACTCAAACTCCTTAGTAAATTCGCGACTGAAAACCTCAAGTTCGGATACCAAGTTACGACAACAGGCGACAAGAGCCTCCTTGGGAGTTATCTCACCATCAGTTTGGATTCTGAGTTCGAATTTGGAAAAGAGGGGATGAGGAACTATGCGCCTCCAATTAGTACAGAATCTCGAAAAAGCCTGGCTAGCCATTGGTATAATGGAACTGTGCTAGTAGTGTGGTAGGCATACTCTTATAACCAGAAAATATAACATGCGGATCTTTCAACAAGTGAGCACGCAACATGTTGGCGAGAGTGTGGTCTTCTTTATTGAAGGTAAAAATCGAGGAGTTGGGGGTGCCTGGATAATAGTTCATTAGCATAAGCTGCAGTAGAAGAGCCCATTTGCGCAATTAATCTACAACTCACGCGTATCGGCTTCCTCAGTACACTTCTTCTCGCCATCTCCGAGAATGAATAGCTCGAATCTATTGTGTATGATTAGCTTCTATCCTTCATCGTCGCGCGGGGCGCATATAGCTATGAAAGCTATGGAGATAAGATATACCTCTCAGGCGCGTTAGACATGTTTCCTAAGGCGGCCATAATTGCTTTAGTAATTGTTCTTTTTGATCATTTCCTCTTTGTGTCTCTTTTGACATTGTGGATTTTGCTACAAATTGGAAAGAACTTACAGCGTATTTCAAGATATAATGTGCTCGTCTGAAGATTAAAAGCTGATATTTCAATTGGAGGAAGGTATGATACGTTATCCAAGAATGAATGGAAGGGGCTATGGCAGGACCAGTAAGAAGCAGTGTGTTGTAAGTTTGGCAGTAACAGTGAAGATATAATAAACCTGTGAAGCTGGTGACAAAGATAATGCCAAGACTAATGAGGGGCTAACACAAATTAGGTATAGCGGGACATTATAGAAGCGGCCGAGGCTCACACCAGCCTCTTTCAGCCTCCTCTTCATTTGTGAAGTCAACAATCTAGCCCACCTGCCTGTCGACGACCGCATCATTTTTCTTTTCTTTTGCAAAATAAAGTATTTATGAGTGTTCTTTATCACTTCATATTTGTTTTAAAATTATACAACACGTTTCAAAAGACACCTTCAACATAGTCCTTATTTTGTTATCGCGCTGTACATGAAATCCAAATAGAAATCCCCTGTTTGCTATCTTCAAGGCTCTCCAGCTTCTTCGTATCATCCATCCTCAGACATCGAAAATTGCATTGATTCCCATTACTTCGCATCTACCAGCTACAGGAAATCTGGATCATATCGAATCATGTCACATTCTAACCACAAACAAACGCTCCGTAAGGACTACCCATGGACAACTTATCCGCTTATATCATCTGCTCCTATGCGCTTAATATCAAAGCCTGCTTTGGCTTTAGCTGTATCTAGGGCTGGAGGTCTAGGTTTCCTTGCTGCTGGTCACGAGTGAGCTAATTCCTTTTTCTTTATATTCGCTTCTCAGCGCAAATCACTGCTTTTTCCAGAGAAGATCTCACAATGAGTATAAACGAGATGGGCTCACTAAGAGGAGAGCTATCTGGATCATGTACCGTGTCTATCATACTCCACTTTTATGCCACTGATAGACAGTTGATACTTTTGACCATCAAGTATTGGGACAGTATGCTATCCAGCGATTGTTCATGCAATATGTTCTTATTCATTACAACTCGGACTCTTCTCTATTTCAGTCTGAATTACGCTATGTACAATTTCATATATGCCCAAACTAATACCAGAAATCATCCAGTCTCACCACCCTTTCGGACGAAATCAGAGAGATTCAAGAATCTCTCTCAGATGACCCTATTCCCGGAAGCTATCGAGATACTCTTCCTATAGGGATAGGGTTTATAGTTTGGGGTTGTGATCTCGAGCATGTCCTGTCAATTCTCGCCCCTCTTCCATTCCCCCCTGCAGCCGTATGGTTGTTCGCGCCACATACTAGCTCGGATTTGCAGGAGTGGACAGATTCAATCCGGAAGCTCACAGGCAATCTTACCAAGATTTGGATCCAAGTCGGCACCGTCTCTTCTGCTCTGTCAGCCGCTCACTTCTGTGACCCTGATGTTCTCGTTATTCAAGGTTCTGATGCTGGTGGTCACGGCCTCGCTCATTCATCCTCGATTGTTTCCCTACTTCCTGAATGCGCATCTGCATTACGTTCAAACGCATATTCACACATACCTCTCATTGCTGCTGGTGGAATAGTCGAGTCACGTGGAGCAGCAGCTTCATTTATGTTGGGTGCTAGTGGGATATGCATGGGTACACGGTTTTTGGCTTCTTCCGAGGCAGTGATACCGACGGGTTACCGAAATGCGGTATTGGCAGCAGAAGATGGTGGTGTATCAACCACGAGAACAACCCTTTATGATAGATTAAGAGGAACAGCAGGCTGGCCTGAAGAATATAATGGAAGAGGAGTAGTCAACAAAAGTTACTGGGACGAGGCGAACGGTATGAGTATGGAGCAGAATAAAGAGCTTTATGAAGACGAGGCGAAAAGAGGAGATGAAGGCTATGGGAACAAGGGACGTCTGTGTACATACGCTGGCAGTGGCGTTGGGTTGGTTCGAGAGACCATGGATGCTCGTGATATTGTAATCGAAGTGAGGGAGGGGTTGAGGAAATTGATTAGAGAGGGATCAAGTCGTTTGTGAGGCATGTTGGATATCATGAGTTTGGAATGCCCTATGATCTTCCAAATCAAAGCTTCGGATGGGAATTGGAGATTGGACATGTTGTCTCATCTCATCCAGTTTAACGAATTTCTTTTCAGTGTATAGCTTCAAAGGGTGGCTGCTTTGTATTTATCAGTTTGTATGATGCACAAACATTCGATGGGGTTTTTTTGATATACTAATACTGTTTTACATAACCAAAAACGTCTACCTGCAATAAAAAATTACTTTCTAATTCCATGAATTGAGAGAACCGTGCGACTAGAGATTTTTGGGCGAGCAGCATGGGAAAATATGTGAAGCGAAAGATTGAGGAAAGTGGAAGTGTATGAGAAAGCAGAATGAGACAGTAGAATGATGAAAATTGACATCGCCATTCTTGACTGTTCGTACTCCAAGTTAAGAACCCCAAATCCTCTCTCAATCTCTAGTCGTTGAATTCATATATTGTACATTTTTAGTTCTTTATCTTCTTTCCATGCTTCGGCTTTTTGGCTGGCGGCGGCGCTGCGACTTCTTCTTCGTCTTCTTCTTCTTCATCATCATCTTCATCATCTTCCTCCTCATCCTCTTCCTCTTCCTCATGTTCATTTTCCAACGCCTCCCTATTAATCTGCTCTCCCCTAACAGCATCCAACTCAGCCGAAGCTCTCGCCAACTCAGCCCTCAACCTAATCCTATCGCCTCCAACTCTACATCACTCAAACCTCTAGCAGCACGCGCTCTAGATGCGTTAGTCCCCCCAAATACGCCAGGGCCCTGCGGAGCCACCAAAATCGCTGCAGCCCCCGCAGCCCCCGCAGCTGCACCAGCCAACCCAATACCCACCGGTCCCACCAATAACGGCGCAATACGCTTTGGACCACCGGTCCTCCCCCACGAGGCACATTCGCTGCAGGAGGAACTCCTTGCGCGGGTATGATAATAGCACCAATAACCCTGCTGAAGCAATACCGACGGCCACTCTGCTAAATCACCCAGCTGGCCACCGAAATTATTCGCAGGCGCCATGCCCGGAATATCAGGGGCATCTTCGGCTTCTGCTTGAAGATGAGATACTGCGTTTTGATGCTCTATTTATTCCTCACATTAGCTTCAACTGCGACTTTTCCTCCCCAATTTGCGTGTCGATTTTCCAGAGAGAAGAATACAAACATACCATGTCTCAACGAACATCTGCTCCCCTGCCCCCCATAATAGCAATTCGTACACGCCTCTTTGAAATGGCCATCGGCCACCACACAATCGGTAAACGGCCCATTCCATTCCTGCAATTGGTGCAAGGGACGTGCTTGGAGAGTACCGACTGGGTTGCTAGCCATGCTTCTTCGTTTAGAAATGCGACGGGGTCCGACGAGCAGGTTGCGGTTGGGACGCATAGTCGTGTTGGCGGAGGATGGGGAGTAGCGCGAGGGTGTTCATGGAGGCGGTGATTCTACTTGCCGGAGCACCGTTGATTACTGTATTGGAAAGTAAGTTTTTAATGTTTTAAGGGAGGATTGGGAGGAGTGGAATCAAGAGCGTAGTCAAAGTGAAAATGATGTGGGAGATGAAACGTAAGGTTAGATTTTTGCAATAGAGCCGAGCGATATGCAGTCAAGAGAACAAGTATACTTACGCGTTCCCGCCGGGGGGCCGGGGGTGGTATAGGAAGGGGAGGAGGAGGAGGCGGTGGTGCACCAGCCATGACTATTTATGTATATTCAAGATAAAAAGCACAAGCTAGTTTGGAAATACACATGAGTTTGACAGCAATGGGCAAGAGCAGAACGACATAGACACCTCTTGAATGCGCAATAGATGTATGATCTGAGCATAGCACAATCGTTCCTTTGTTTGGCACTTAAGACGCTACCTTTGATGATTCTTCGCTACCCTTTGTGGGAAGGATTTCATGAACTAGGGCATTGTGAGGTCAATCACTTTGTGTAGAGGCCGCAAATGAATATTTTGCTATAGGCGCAATCTGAGAATCTGCCAATCAAAAAGAATCTTAATTGATTGCATGTCATTTAGCATGCAAGAAAGACGCAGACCAAAAGGCAGAAGCCATGCTAACGTGGGGTTAGCAAGTGAAGAGGAGCAGCAGGCAAGGTTGAAAGACTCCTGACAATTGATGGAGCCCTGCTCCACGTGAACTCGATCTGAAAGTTTGCTCTCACAACCACATTCCAAAAACAAAGCCTAAGATTTCCACGACAATACTAACGTCTTAATGAGCTCACTTGTGGGGATTTATGGTGAATAGCACATCCACAATATAGGGGCACAATCCATCATCAAATGCTTACGAAAGCCTTGAGGCCAATTTGAATATTATAACAATCTGATCCTGACATTTATAACTGTGAAGCAAAGACAAAAGAGAACGAAAAGAAAAACTAAGAGATATCAATTTCCAGTGCAATGCTACGCTATGCACCCAATCCAGCCATACCATCCGAAAAAAACTTAAAAGATCTAGTATCATAAACAACGACAAAAGAATGCCCCATCCATATGTATGTATATATTCAGTTTATACATGCATACAAGCACAGCCCTTCGTCTTTCCACGACTTGTGAGATCGAGCCGTGTATGCGATTTAAAACAATGGCAATTCTCCTCCTGCCCTGTCTTTTCTATCGCAATATCCAACGTTTGGAACTTTATCACCACCACTTGTCCAGCTGATGATTGTCAAGGCCGTAGTATATACCATTACCACCAAGCCAAAGATACAAAGCATGATATCTGCCCCTTTGCGGAAACGTGTTTTAGCTACACCTCGATAATGTAGCATTGGCTAATGAAAGGTTAGTCTCTTGATCTTGGGGCTGAAAGTATGTGATTTAAATTGAAATTTGTCAACGAAATAAGAGGACATACCGGATATATGAATACTAGTGGAATACAAGCAAAACTTCCGACGATCGAAACAAATTTATCTAAATCGTTGGAGCCAACGTATGCAATGGATGCGCACAGGGCAACGACGAAGAAGCGGAAAACATTCTTTTGCCATTTGATATAAGGATTGTATTTTCCACTTTTGGTAAAGAGCTCATTCTCTGTGATTCTGATGGCTGGGAATATCTGCAGAGGGGTTGACAAAAGAATGGCGCACGAATAGAGGAATTGAACACCATTGACCATCTTGTCGTTCTGTGGAAGATTAAGAAGAACAACTGTCTCTATATGGGAACCAAATGCAGCGTAAGAAAGAGCACCCATAGAGATGAATACTACGCTGATAATGATCATGACTATACCGAGAACAGGAGGAAACTTCTTTGGATTCTTCATGGATTCTTGAATAGGGATGATCAAGCCAATTCCTTCGAATGTAAAAATGGCGGTGCCAATGAACAGCGTCCAGTCTTGCTGGTTGAAATTGACGATGTCAGAAATACCACCTTGTTTCACAATTGTGAAAATGTCGTAGTAGTAGAGATATACTAAGCCAACAAGAATAAAGGCATCTGCTATGAGCGCGGTAAATCCGAGCTTGCTGATGTCGCGCAAAAGAGAGAATGGCAAGAAAATAGCCATTTGTAGCAAGATCAACCATGAAACCTCCCAGTGAACTCTACAATTAGTCACAGCTGCTATGAAAGCTTGCAAGTTCTCTGACGTGAATACGATATACGCAGCCACAAATCCCATCTGACTAACGACAATCGATGCAAGAATGACTGTTCGCATCCATCTCCCATAGAGAACACCACCCATATCTCCGAAAGACGCCTCAACCTTTAGTCGCGTGTTGACGAGTAACACGAAGCAGTAATAACTCAAAGCTGCGACGAGAAGAAGGATAATGTTACTGAAAAGCATACCGCCGTTGAGATACGCCTTAGGTAGGAACAACACGCCAGTACCCACAAAAGATTTTAGCAACAGCAACGAAGCTTGAAAAGGTGTGGTTGTTCCTTGTGGTGCGCGCTCCTTGCGCTTTCTTTTTCTGCGACCAGGTGTAAGCAGAGCACTATTCTCCATAGGCTCTCTATCCTCATCACTACCTTCACCATAATCATCAGAGATAGCATCCGATCCAAAGTATTCGTCAGGTCCGAGTACCTCATCGTCTTCTTCCAATTCTTCACCAGCAAAATGGCCGTAGATGGTTAGAAACTCGAGGAAGTTGTTGGTAAATATTTTTGGCTGTCGTTGCGCGAGTCCTCCGCCTTCTTCTACATCTATGCCGTCAGGAGTAGGGCTGCCTGCTGCTCGACGTAGATAATTTCGTCTGAATCCACCTGGCACTTTGATTGTGCCTATGTCAAGAACTTCGTTCTCTGCTTCTGGTCGCGAGATGTGAAAGCTCTTACTCCTTTGAGATCGGCTCGCTCTGTGAGCATCTTCAGTCCATCTGTATATGGGTCTAGTAACGTCACCACCTTGTAATCGCAGACTCGAAAATTCATCATCATCTAGCCCAGGTGCTATAGTTTCAATTGCCTGTTTTGATGTACTAGCTGGAGAGCCCACACGGAATGATGGTGACTGTCCGCTTGGGCCAAATATCCCATCAGCGGCACCGTCACCTCCTAGCTGCGAAGGCCCTTGTTGCACCAAATGTCTTTTTATAATTTCTGGGTCCTCGTAGGCTGTCGGGCCAGCCCATCCTTGCCCTCCTTGTACCGATCGCGGAAGAGAGCCATAATTACTATGCGCTCCTGTACCTTGTATTTGTTTACCGGCAGCGGCTGGTGATAATGAACGGATGGGAGGTGTTCCAAAGGTAGGAGGAGTCTGCCCGATAGAGTTCGACAGCGCAGCAGCCAACGCGCTGATACCTGGACCAGGCGCATAAGATGCTGGACCACCTGCGCCAGCCAGCGGGAGAGGAGTAATACTCTCAGATGAATCTGCGGCGGCGGCCTGATTCGGAGTAGGTATCTGTCGAACTTGTGGAGTGCCGTGATGGGAAGGTACTGGTGAGGCTAATCGGGCTGTTGATTTATCTCTTGAAGACGGACTGCCCGACCGCCCTCTGAATGAGCCTGGTGATGGTGACGAACTCATCGGAACTGGCAGAGGTCGTGAAGAGGAAGGAGTCGACATGATGATATGAGATGCAGTCGGTGAAGAAGGTAGTAGATATATTTTATTTCAAGAGCAGCAATTCGCTGGGTCTTATCTCATGATAATGGCCGTATTGTAATAATCCTGGTAAGAAGACAACCTATGAAGAATGGAGAAGATGGAAATCTTCTTCGGCGAATTTCGTTAGCCTCGATATACAGCAGATGCCAACAGAGCCGGTGAATATTTCATGTGCTGTCGTAAGATTACTCACCAAGAATGAATATCAAAACAAATTTCTGATAGAATGGATACGATGTTATTATGTTGTCACCTGCCTATCTCATCATTCTCATCCTCAGCTCACACCAAGTTATCCGGCTATCTTGCAAGATACATAAAATGGCCCTTGTCTTGTCTGAGAATCTCAAACATCCAACATCAACATCCAACGAATCGGGGGAGGAGCAGCGAGTAAGAAGACCCCGAAAATAACCAGCCAATCGAAATTCAAGAGTGAAATGCTTTTTGTACGATATTTCGATTGGTCTATTGAATGATATAAAACAATACGAGTAATGGAAGAGTATTATACACCAACGTATCTATCTAGGTAATGATCTCTCATTCCTATGGGCTGAGGAAAAGTAAATATCTAATGATGAAGTACGAGTATGGACGGGTGAATTTCATATGAGCCATTTTATAACCTCCAGCTTACACGACAAGTACAAATAAGAACAATAAGTATTCAACTCTTTCCTTCCATCTGCTCCTCGTCCTCCTTCCTTTCTCCTTCCTCCTTCCTCCCTCTCTCGAATCTCCTTTGTTCGAAACTCATTCTGAACAATCGTCTCTCTCTTGTCACCTGTGTCCCTTGCCCTGCCACATGACGTCGAACGGCAATATCCTTGTTCTTGGCTTCACCAACTCTTAGATCTCGTATCTGTTAATGAGTACGAATTCGAGTATATAAAAATACATACCTATGTACAGGACATTATTTCTTTACTTAAATTAACATATTGATTTGGAGGTGGGTATTGATATTGCCATTGGTTTTACTATCAATAAGGTTAATTGAGAATGCCCAATGCGGGCCAGGGAATAGACAGCATCGGCGAAGCTAGCACCAGCAAGCATGGAACCCAGTGTGAGGGTGAAGCTCCTGCTAGTGAATCCAACATTGGCAATGGAAATTCCTTATCCCATCGAGTCTTACACACATTTTCTAGCGATGTAACTCACAACGTCCAAACGCCGGACCCTCAAGAGGAACAGCATCAGGATCCATACTCTGCTGGTACCATGGGAGAAAATTCATTGACTGTCCAAATGCATAATGAGGCAGAGCGGAAGAGGAATGGTACAGCGATTCCTAGATCAGGGCTGGGACCTCGACCAATTGGTGGACAAGAGAAGTTGGGGATGTTTTCTGGGGTGTACGTGCCAACATGTCTCAATGTTTTGAGCATTTTGATGTTCCTGCGATTTGGATTTATTCTAGGACAAAGTGGGTTATTGGGCATGATGGGTAAGTCTCTGAATGCATAAAACCATAACAAATATTGACAGTACCCCCCAGGTATGCTTGTCGCGTCATACGTGATCAATTTTATCACTACCTTCTCTCTTTCTGCGATTGCCTCGAATGGGACAGTGCGCGGAGGTGGTGCATATTACTTGATATCTCGTTCTTTGGGTCCAGAATTTGGAGGCTCAATTGGACTCGTCTTTTATCTGGGCTTCGTTTTCAATACTGGAATGAACGCCGTGGGTCTTATCGACTGTATCACGCTAAATTTCGGTGCCGACAATGGCAATTGGGCTCATATCTTGCCTGAAACAAACTGGTATTGCTACCTTTGGTCTACCTTAATACTCGTTTTTTGTACACTGTTATGCTTGGCTGGATCTGGGATCTTTGCGAGAGCTAGTAACGGGCTACTAGTTATTCTATTCATCGCCACATTGAGTATCCCACTTTCGGCATTGGTCGTTAGCCCTTTTGAAAGTCGGAATTTGGGTATCGAATACACGGGCATTAGCTTGCAAACACTATCTGGGAATCTTCTGCCTCAGCTTACTAGAGGTGCCGCTGGCAGCCAAATCAATGGACGAGAGACTTTTCAGGATCTATTTGGGATCCTATTTCCTGCAACAGGGGGCATATTCGCTGGGGCAAGCATGAGTGGTGACTTGAAGTCTCCGAGCAAAGCCATCCCAAAAGGAACTGTGTATGGCCTTATCACAACTTTTTTCTTGTACACTCTAGTCATAGTAGCAATGGCCGCCACAGTGACCCGCTCATCTTTCCTCAGAAATACTAATGTGCTTCAAGAGACAAACATGTCAGGGTTATTAATCCTGGCAGGAGAAGTGTCCACTAGCTTGTTCTCTGTGCTCATGGGAATTATTGGCAGTGCAAAGCTTCTTCAAGCAATATCAAGAGACAGCCTGCTACCTGGGTTTTCTGTATTCAGCCAGGGAACCAAGAAAGCTGATGAACCTACTTTTGCCATCATTTTCACATTTATTGTCACCCAATTGACAATGCTTGGCGACCTCAATCAAATCGCCAGTTTTGTAACAATGACTTATCTTGTAAGTACGATTTGGCGAAATTATGCGAGACTACAAACCCCCCTTCTCCACACCCAGTCTCTGATTTCAATTGCATGCTGCATCAACAATCGCGCTCGCCTGGTGTGTGATGTTGTATTTTGATGTATACATCTGTCATTTATGCCCACCTTCTTGTGTTATTTTATGTTCGTTTGTATATTTTGAGTGCAACAGTGGCTAGGGTCTCATTTTCATACTAAAGAATTGTTATGGGTAGCATTAGCTAACATTGTTAGATGACCTTTCTAGTCATGAACCTAGCTTGCTTCCTCCTTTCAATCGGTTCTGCACCTAATTGGCGTCCCAGTTTCCATTTCTTCAACTGGCAGACTGCTTTTGCAGGAGCAATATTGTCAGGGGTTGCAATGTTCTTTGTAGACGGAGTCTATGCAACAGGATGTGTGGGCATGCTCCTTCTACTATTCCTCCTCATACATTATTCCGTAGAGCCAAAGAGCTGGGGAGACGTATCCCAAAGTTTGATATATCATCAAATTCGAAAATACCTTCTTAAACTTAAACAGGAGCATGTCAAATTTTGGCGCCCTCAGGTTATTTTACTTGTCAATGACCCACGCCGACAATACAAGCTTATACAGTTTTGCAACTCTATGAAGAAAGGTGGTCTGTATATCCTTGGTCATATTATTGTGACGGATGATTTCAGCCAATCCGTGCCAGAAGCTGTAAGTAGAGCTTCAACGCTACATATACCATAAGAATAAGCCGTGCCATTTAAGCAACATTTACTGACTAATGAGAGTAGCGTCGCCAGCAAGCAGCGTGGAACAAGTATATTGATTTTTCAAAGATCAAAGCATTCGTTAATATTGCCATATCTCCGGCTCTTGAATGGGGTGCTCGCAATATTATTCTCAACGCAGGACTAGGAGGAATGCGGCCCAATATCGCAGTCATGGGGTTCTACAATTTAGATGACCTTAGAAATGCTCAGCCATTGATAGACATTTCGGAGCCATCTGAACCATCATCGGGCAATGTCAAGAAATTCAAGACACCACCTCGTTATAGGCGTCAGAACAGTAGGGAGAAGAAGATGCAAGGAGTGCTCCCAACTGATTTATGCCGGACCGAAGGCATGATGAGCGTAACAAGCTATGTCACTATCTTAGAAGATCTGCTCTTCAAGCTGCAAATCAACGTTGCAGTGGCCAAAGGTTTTCGAGATCTGGAATTGCCAGATACTGAGAACACGAAGAAGTGTATTGATCTTTGGCCCATCCAAATGTCTGCTGAAATCGCAGCTGAAGGAGATGTAAAGCAGAATGTTTTGACCACCAATTTTGATACTTGTAGGATACACAATTTCTAAGTCCCTTTTTTTTGAGGTCTTTGAGGTAATTAGCTGACAATAGCAATAGACACTTTGATACTCCAGCTTGGTGTCATTCTAAACACTGTACCTGCTTGGAAAAAAGCATACAAACTTCGCGTGGCTGTATTTGTCGAATATGAAAACGACGTGGAAGAAGAAAGAGGCAGGGTAAAATCTCTACTCGAAAATCTGCGCATTGAAGCTGAGATTCTTGTATTTTGGTTGGCATCAGGAGATATTCCATCCTATGAGATCATCATCAATGGTGCAACCCCTGGCTCCAATCAAGTTGACGAGGTCGAACAATGTCTTAAGGGACAAGACTGGTGGGATGACATACAGAAGCTTCGTGGGAATCATGGAGCTACCACATCTGCCGTGGTAGATCTGGCTCAAATAACGAACATATTTCATGCTGCCCCAACTTGGCCGGACGCATCATTTCAACAGGGTGCACGGTATAGACATGTAAGCACTCACTTGATCCACCTCTTGTCCTTTTAAATGTTCATATGTTTTCCTATCCTTGAATATGCATTATTTTCTGATGATGACTGACCTGCTCTTGAAATGTTTCTTAGGCCCAACGATTTCTTGGACTCCGACGGCTGCTAAGGAAATCAAAGAAACGACAGAATATGAGTAATCTAAAAGGTTTAGGTGTCAATATGGGTATGAGATCTCAGAGATTAGAGCCCGATGTTATGAGCAGACATGCTAGTCAAGGAAGTGCCAGCGAAGATTCCGATAGTGATTCCGGACCTCAGACTGAGGAGCCGGAGTCTGATGACGAAAGTGCAGCGAGTGAAGGAGACCTCGATGATTTCGAATCAGACAATGATACCCATGCTGGAGAGATCAAACCAATTGCCCGAAGAAGAAGCCATGGCGATAGCTTACGTGGTCCCCCCATATCTAAGCGTGCAGCGGGAGCAGAGGAGCCAATTCCTCCTACGATTTCGAAATCAACAAGACAATCGATAATTGATACTTTCAATAAATCACCGGATGTATTGATGCCAACCGCTTCAGCGCCTGTGTCACCACCACGTTCACCTCAACCATCCGGTCTTCAGCCATCACCAATTTTAGACTTCCCTGCCTCTGTGCAATCATTGAAAGACTCACAAAAGTCACCCGCCGCTCCTGATTTATCAGTAACGTCATCTCTCCTACAACCTCATGACCCACGAAAGAGACCACCGATATCTAGACATGCATCTACCCCGAAGTTCTCTTCAAAACCAGTTCCCATGACCCGCGTGGCCACAGAAGACGGCCCCGGCCCTAGCATAATGTTCGCCGAAACACCCTCTCCACCAACCGCTCGCAAATCCGCTCCTCGTATGCCATCCGCCTATCGTTCTTCTCCCTCTTTCGACCGGATTTCCGAAGCATCCAATTCTTCCAATCCTACCCGTAACCCTCCTTCTCCGACTCGGTCTTCATACTCTTTGCAATCCATTCCGCTTAGTTTTAATGATCTACCCTGTAGAGCACAACATCTAATTCTCAATCAGTTGATTAAGAGTCAAAGTGAGGAGACGGCGGTTATCTTTACTACTTTACCGAGTCCGGTTGAAGGAACGGGTGGAAGTAGGGAGGCGAGTGAGGGATATCTTGGGGATTTGGAGGTATTGTGTGGGGGCCTGCCACCAGTGTTGTTGGTGCATAGCAACAGTATGACGGTTACTGTTAGCTTGTAGGGAGTGGGAAATGGGATATTGAAGGGCAATACATAAGGTATTCGGCGGTCGGGCAAGGTGTATTGAATATTTGTGCATGCGGTATCGGAGTTTGGTGGGCATTATATCGGTTTAAAGGATAGGCAATAGACATATATATAACAGAGAATACATTCAGGTTCATGGGTTACTTAAGACTCTTGCTATTTTTGATGAAAAATGTAGTGTCAGTTACTATACACAGGGGGGGTATTATAATCTCGTTGGATCATATCTAGACCCCAAACTTTGATAATTGCAATCCCAGATGACCTTCAGTGCGATAATAGTACCCTAAATTACTCCGAATTATTCTACCAAGAGTATCACAATCTCGTGGGAATCATTTGCAAATATTTGCAAATGTAGAATCGCCGAAAGATGAGATTGTTATTTATTATTTTTGCATTATAATCAAGGGAAATTATATCCCATATCCTAAATCCTATATGTTATATCCCATAAGCATCAATCTTTTCAATAGGAAGTAAATTCTGTGAAAAGGGCCTTATATATGTGTGATTCTTAGCCGTTTAAAGCCCTGATCTTGAAGTTTTGATACATATATGGCAGCTTCATTGTACATAACTCAAGTAAAGAAAGAATTGTATGCGACTTGCAGTCCACATGTTTCCTCTTCTGTGACAAGCTCGGTTGTCGTGTAGTTTAATGGATTGCTATAATTTGAGTTTTGGAGTATAGAGGCTTCCGAAGCGTTCAGTAAAGATGTTGTTGGAGTAGTGAATCGTGACTTAGATTCATTTTCTGAATCGTTGGAGTGGTATGAATCTTGGGTGTGGGATGGAGTAGTATTTATATCCAAGTCTTCGAGTAATCCTGGTAGCGATATGCATTCCTCTTCCATTACTATGGTTGGTGATAATATGGGAGATCTATCTAAGGCGAAGAGGAGCTCCAAGAACGTGTCCTTGTCTTCCCAAAAATCTGGATTACATCCTTCTTTTTCTTTGTCCTCACTTGAGAGGTAGTGTTCGTGGTAAAAGTCATCTTCAGAGTATGAAGAGCTTGAGACAATAGTAGACTCGTTGGCAAACTCATACTCGTCACCGGAGATGCTTGTACTACTCGAGCGGTTATTGGAGACCCATTGCATCAAAGGTATATACAGTGGGGGTTTCCTTTTAGCTCTAAGATCAACAAACCCGAAAGAAAGATCTCGTTCAACAACGTGTGGGTGGGAGTCTGCATCGAGATCGAGGTAGTGAAGCTGCACGGCCAAAGAAAAATAATAATCCGTCTCAACAAAATCCGCAGCAAAATCTTCATCAAAACCGTAATCCACCAAAGCCTGGGAGATTACATTCAAGTAAACCTTTTGGTTGTATGGAAAGCTGGCAAGGTGGAGTGGTAGAATGGAAGTGAAGGATAATGATGGGTTATTGAAATCTACTCCTGAATCCTCAAAGTACCCAAGGAACGCCGCCCAGATAGCTCTATGGAATTGGGTATTCGCGTCTGAGCTTTTGATCGAAGCAACTAAGTCTTGGAATAACAAGATGTTTTCGTTGAGATTGAGTTCGTTCATTATCTGTTTCAAATGAACATCGTCGTGAAGGCAATTAAATATACCTGGGCATGATTGAGATATATTACACTGATGGTCGGTCGCTCTTTTTATGCAACGGGTGAGACGAGTGTAGTACCAACTCCAAACTTCATCCGCACTTGGCCATGCTAGAGGCCACATTTCCTGGGTCTTTAAGAGGTCATAAACGGGACGTTGAAATCCATCAATTTGCACTTGCCAATCCAAGTTCTCCAAGCCATGTTCTGGAATTGGAGCGTGGGTACTATTCTTGATTATAATTCGCGCCAAATGCAGCAGCGACTCAGTGTCTGACTTTGAAGTTGGTGACAAAGTAGCGATGGTCATGAGCGGCGATCGATCAGCTCTTTCCTCCTTTATTCTTGGCACTCCTGAATCCAGACCATGGTGCACCAATTCCTCAAAGACGGACAGCAGTCCTTCGATACCGCACTGCGGGGGAATAGATCGATACTTAAAAGCTTCGATAATTTGGCGCAGTGTTAGTTCGAGGAGAGATCTCTCAGCCCACAAACGATCATATGGCGAGGCATGTCCATTTATAAAGAGCTCTCTAACCTCTGCCAGGTTACCAGAAATGCAGGCATTGACGATCGGAGCGTTGCTGTCGATTATATTATACACTCGTAAGGCGGGTTCGGGGGCAAATGACGAAATAGCGAATCCTTGCTCAACAATAGAGCAACATATACCCAGCTGAAGTAACTCCGGATTTGCGAACAAATCCACGTTTGTCTGAGTGACAGTGAGTGATCGTATGTTGACGGAATTAGTATCTAATTCATTGAAGGTTGTAATGATAGACTGTACAGTCACTATACCAATGGCACGAAAGTATTTCTTTTCTAAGATACGCTGTTGGACAACTTCTCGTCGAGGTCCAGTTCCCAAAATAGGTTTGAAGATTTGTATAGACTCAATCCCACCAAAATCTCGATTGTGTTTGGTTTCAAGATGAAACCCCAACAAGACTTCGCGGAATATGTTTTTCACAAATGTTGGCATGCCCATTGGCAATAACCTCAAGCCCTCTGAAGTGGCCTTTAACGTTTCGATGAATTCGTTTGCTGTACTGGCATTTTGAGCCATCTCATGGACTTGACCGACTGTTCCGGACACCGTCGTAGCAGAAGCAGTAAATTTCGATGCTGAAATTGCGTTGACCGCGTTGCAGAGGTCATTGATTTTTGTACAAAGATCACTCTTCAATGTAGAAACGGCTTCCTTTGTATTGCATGCAGCTACGTGCACTTCATTCAACCGTGCTGGGATCGTACTGACAACATTCGAGGAATCGCCAAGCTTCGAGGCTAGAAAGTTAAGATCCCGCTTGATAACTTGATCGTGTGAAAGCTTTTGACTTTCTAGATGTCTTCGCCGATGAGTAAGTTGGACTTCTTGTAGATTAAGTGGAACTCGCAATATTATATTAGCCTGCATTATAGCTATGTCGTGCTTGACTTTATTGATTCTGGATGCGTGCTTTGCGCACGTATCTCTTAGAAATACAAACTTGAGTTTACTCATCTTCCTCCCGGAAAACTTGTTGGTCGCAATGAACTTTATTAGATTCTGCACAGCTTCTTGCGCTGTATTCAAAACCAATCGAACTGCATGCATCCGACCACTCGCTGTCAACTTAACACCAGAAGTTTCCAAATCTTGAAGAACATTGCGAAAGCTGTCAATGATGAGTTTAAGAGAGCTCACTTCGCTTCGAAGTTCCCGGAAATCGTCGTCTGCTTCCTTGATTCCATCAATTATTCGACGGACATATTCGCAGCCTTGCACGAGTTGGCCAGCAAGACCAAGAAAAGCAATAACTGACGCGCCTAATCCGATAGCTTCCGCCATGGCACGAGAAAACAACAAAGATTGGAAGAATGGAAGAATCTGTAGGAATTCAAGAATCTGCGGATATATTTGAAGACTTCTTTTGAGGGGGTTTGGTTTATGTCTCTGCATCAAGGTTGCTTTCACATTGTGGTAATACTCAATGAGGCTCGGTTGCAATAGTTTGTACAACCAGAATGTCATAAGGGCGTGATATTCTGCAGAATCAATTGGGAAGTTAACCCTTGTCAACTCCATCGTCAATTGGTTGATTGGGAGCCATTCGGTCTCGAAACAAGAATTCTAGCTCAACCTATTTACAGTCCATCTCGAGTGCAGCAAACGTTTACTTCATTGTCATGCCTTTTGAGATTTGTTCGAAGTTGAGATGTCGAAGAATTTTGAAGGTGTATCAGCTCTTCATGTCGTAAGACCAAGCTCTCTTTTCAAGATATGAAATTTTAGTTACCTGTTCTAAGACTTCACGAGTCATCGTTGATGAAGCCTAATCGAAAAAGCATACCTGGCAGTCGCTGCGCCATGGGATGGTACATCACCACAGCGTAACACTTCGATCAGCAAATCTCGCAACTGAGTTCAACTATTGAATTCGTCGTCCAAGATAGTCTCATCACATACTTGGATGGCTATGCTTTAGATGGCAATAATGCATCTTGAAGTTACCTAGTATCGCGTGTAATCCTTACTTCCAAAAAATAATATAAAAGGAAAGCTCTTAAATAATGAAATCTGTTTGTCTGCACTGCAACGGAAAGGAAATTTACAAGTCAATATAATTAACCTTGATGATCACGTGCATGTAATTTACACGAGAATTCGCGGATCGCGTCCCTGCGCGTTTCCCAACTTAACAAAAGTTCCACTGGTAGCAACATTGACATTGAGAACAACAACATGGCGGTACCTGTAGAAGATGGCAGTTTACTGCATGGCCCCACGTAAGTAATTGATCAAATGAATCAGTCGATGTAAAGTTCTAAACTAATTGTTCTTCAATACAGCACTTCTCATTCCTCACCACCGACTCGAGTACCCTCGTCCTACAAGCCTCTCTCTACATTTGCACTCTCCAAAGCAAAACAATATCAACAGCAATATGGCGATATGTACTTCTTGAGATTGACTTCTTTAAAGAAACCAGTTGAAGAAATTGCAAGCGCCGCTTGGGATGGGTTCCAGATTTCTGGGGAGGAAGTGCGGAAGGTAGAGAGAGTGTTGGATGTTAGACAGGGAGAATTATGTTGGGTGGCAGGTACAATTTATATGAATATGCCATTGAAACCGAATATTTTGGAAGATATAAGTAAAGATGTAGGGAATTTCCTTCCTCATTTGAGCAATTGGAGAAGAAGGGAAGTATGAAATCATGATCTTGAGATACTAATTATTTTCCATGAATAGCATTGGATATCAGCACCCCCACCTCGAAAGAAATATCTCTCCAGTGACGGCGAAGACGAAATAATGCTCGAGGATGAATCTGGACGACTGCGATTAATTGGAGGACAACTAAATAAAGAGCTGCTGGTGACAGGCTGTATAGTAGCAGTAATGGGGACAGAAAACGCAAATGGCGATTTCGAAGTAGTGGATATCAAAGTACCAGATTTACCACCGCAGGAACCAAGATGGGAAATATCCGGGGAGAAAGAGGAAGAGGATACAGATATGGATACGGAAAAGGCAGGGCGCAAAAAGATTGCCCTCGTCTCTGGCCTCTCATTCTCTGGAACCAGCGCCGAGAACTCTCTCGAAAAGGCCCTCCTGACCGAATATCTCTTAGGCGAGAGTCTAGACCCCTCTTCCCAAGCCGAAGTCTCTAAAATATGTCGTCTAATAATAGCCGGCAACAGCATTGCCACTGACCTCGATAGCATAGCACACGACACCGTGGGCAATACACGCAAAGCACAAAAGAAATACGGCTACGATGCCAGCGCCTATAATCCCGCTCCTACCGCCCATTTTGATAACTTCCTAGCTGAACTCTTGCCAAGTTTACCCATTACATTATTACCTGGACCTAGCGATCCGGCAAATGCAAGTCTGCCGCAACAGCCTATTCATCCGGCTATGTTTCCTCAAGCTAGAGCGTACTGTGGAAGTGCGCCGAGTGTTATCGGAGAAGAGAGAGAGGCGGGATGGTTTGACCCAGTGACGAATCCATGGGAGGGAGAAATAGAGGGATGGAGAGTTTTGGGCACGGGCGGACAAAATGTCGATGATGTCTTCAAATACGTAGAGGGTGAGGATCGCCTGAGCATGATGGAGGCTATGTGTAGGTGGAGGTGTTGTGCTCCCACTGCACCAGATACTCTTTGTATGTTACACCCTACATCCCTTCATTCACTTTGCAGCAAACTTGCGCTTTCTTTGAGAAAAGGAGACTAACATTCCCAAGGGTCCTACCCATTCCAAGACGCCGACCCCTTCATCATCAGCACTTGTCCGCACATCTTTTTCGCCGGCAACCAACCCTCTTTCGACACCGCCAGCATCGAGGGACCAGACGGCCAAACCGTCAGACTAATATCAATACCCAGTTTCGAGGAAACAGGCGAGATCGTACTCCTAGATGCTGAAACGTTGGAGGCGGAAGTTGTAAGAATCACGGTGGAGTAAGTAGGTATGGTATCTAGGTAGAACTGTTCATATGCATCTGAAGAAAAGAGGGAGGAGACGTTCCGAGCCATTCATCAATGAATTACCTACCTACCTACCTACCTACTAAATATCCATTCTATCTCATCTTATCTTACCTCATCGACCAAGTATCTAGCCATTAGGAGACCACAATAATAAATAATAAACCATTTGCTAGATTACCTAGATTAGACAGAAGCTAGATATCTATATACAATACTCTTCTAATCACTCTACATCTACATACCGAGAAAGAAACACACTCTCTACATTCCATAAAGTAGATAGGTACCTAATTAGATCCTCTCAAATTAACCTCCCCCAAAAATTACAGAGGTAGGTAGGTAGGTAGGTAGTTAGATAGGTATATCCACCCCTTCCAAATCCCCATATAAGATATTATACATCCATATTCCATATACATTCCCGCATCCCATTCTCCAAAAAAGGGGGGGATCACACCATCTCGCTTCCACTCCAAACAAACAGACAAACAAACAAACAAACAATTTCGAAGAATCGCAACACCCACCCACTCCTATTCCCCTCCCCTCCCCATACTCCAGCTATTTTCCAAAATTCAAATCCCACACATCACAGCATCACCCAACCCAGCAAATAATATAAAAGATCACCTAGGCTACTAGGTATCGTATCATACACAGATAGCACTGAACTAATACCAGGATCTCGAGTCCTAAAATGTAAGATTATATTCATAGGTATTCATATTCATATTTTATTTTTCCATTTTTCCATATAAAAAAGAAAAAAAGGAGCCATCTAAACTTACTACCTACGACCTCATACTCACTACTCCAACAATGCAAACCAGACCAAACAACACGGTGTATCATTCCGCTCACAGCATAACAGTAACAGTAACAGTAACCACCTGGAGTTAACGCTATCAAGTCAAAAAAAAAAAGCTAAAGCACGCATACCCACCTACCCATCCATCCCCTTCCTTTTCCCATGCGCATTCGCATCCGCTTTCAACAATACAATGAACGAATGCCCTTGAAATCACTCTCCAAAATGTCATCATCAATATTAATCTCAAAAATCCGTATGCCGAGGCCAATCCATCCATTTGCGCTCGCTACACTCTGCTCTGACGTGCGGAATCCGTTATTCCTTTCTCCGCCCAATCTCCCATCTCCCATAGATCAAAAGCTCAAGGTATAATCGTCAAATTCCCAAACCCTCTAGCGATAATCAAGAAACCCTTTGACTCAAGCGTGATCTACCCGGACCCTGCGCCTTTTTGATTGCTCTCAATTCTTCCTCAATTCTCCTTCGTTCCGTTTGTTCAGCCTATCATGAATTCATTAGCACAATCCCATCAAATCCAACAATTGAAAGTCAAAAACTCACCCTCAAAGCCCTCAGCCCCTCCGCCCTCGAATCCCTCATCATCTTCTTAAACTCATTCTTCAGCACCGTCGTGCTCGTATTATTCATAGTCGGCGTCACGCTTCCATCCCCAGGACTCCTCATCCCCAAATTTCTAACCTTCTCATCACTCAGCTGACTCTCAAGATTTTCCCTCTCATCCCTCAATTTATCAATATCCGCTTCTAACTTCTCTCTCTCCTTTTCCCATTCAATCGACGCTTTGGTCATAATTTCATACTCTTCTATCGTCTCTTCAAGCTCCTTTTTAAGCTCCTTAAGTTTCGCTTCCGCCTCCGCGCTACTTGCTGTTGGGCCCGGAGACCTGGCGGCTTGGAGTTCCGCAATCTCGCCTTGAAGCATGAAATTTTTATTATGAAGTGCATCCATTTGTTCTTGCAACGCCTTATTCTTGTTTGTCATAGCATCGATTTCCTTCTGAATAGCTGGATTCGAGGCAACTTCTGCAGCCCGCTGAGCTCGTGAACCGTATGCACCATCGAGTTCTGCTCTCGCAATGACAACTTCCGTTTGCAATTCTGCAACCTTCATACTGATATCTTCCACCTCCTTCTCTTTCTCTGCCAATAACTTATCCTTTTCTCTAAGAGAATTTTCATGAGCAACTCTAGTCGTGGCAGCAGCAGCTACAGCAGTTGACAACTCCGCAATTCTCGCTTCATGCCCACTCAACTTGCTTGTCACATCGGCACTATTGATACCGTTATCGTCTTTAAGTTCCTGGAGTTCATTTTCCAGTTCATCAATCTTTTTGTTGGCAGCAGTGAGCTGATCCTCAAGATTTCGATTAGTAGTTGCCAGGCCAGCAATTCGTTCCTGCGAATCACGAGCCGCGATTGCAAGTTGTTCTTGTGAATCACGATGCGCATCAGTAAGACTAGCAATGCGCTCCGAAGCTTCACGATGAGAATTGGTAAGCTCCTCCTCATGCAGACGACGGGATTCGGCAAGCTGTTCTTGTAATCCTCGAAGGGAAGCGGAATCCTTAGCCTGCGCCTCGGTATCCATCTTATCTGCTTGCCTAGCTTTCATCAGTTCAGTCATGACATTACTGAGTTGTTCTTGAAGATCAGCAGCATTACGTTCTGTCCTCTCGAGAAGACCTGTAGTTTTGTCGAGCTCTTCTTGCTTGCTTACAAGCTCAGCATCCTTCTGAGCATCGGACTTGTTATTCAGTTCTCGCTGTTGTTTGATTTGTCTCTGAAGAACCTTCTTATGCTCCTTTAATTTAGTAGCCGAAGAATACAGCCACTGCACCTTGGCCGAGAATGATTGAAGTGTAAATGGCTCATTTGGATCACCCATCTCAGAGCCAGTATCAGAATCATCCTGAGGAACACGACCGTTTGCTGCACGATTTTGTCTCCGCTCCTGCTTCTGTTTTCGAATTTCTTCCTCTCCAGATTGTATGATATCCCATAAACCCATGAGCACGGCTTCCATTTGATCACTATCTCCAGATTTACTCTTATTGACCGGAGGATTGGCAACTATTTCAGCAGCTTTCGTAAGCTCCTCTTCTACCGAAGCAATAATATCCTGGAAATAATACAATTGCTCTCTCAAGCCAGTTTGTTGCCCGGTAATTGCTGGTGGCTCTTGTAACTCTGGGTGTGTAGGAGAAAGAAGACCCCTAACCTCGCGATTCAATTCCTCCAAAGTATCTTCCATAGAAGCATTTAATTCATCGGCTTGTCGCTTGGAAGCAGTATACTCTAAATCAAGAGTAGCGATACCCTTCTCCAAGTAATCAAGGTGATTTTGTAAAGTTTCTCCAGGCTGGGTTGGTTTTCCTTGAGCGTTGGTTCTTGCAAGTGGTACTGGATTTTGGCTTGCATCATGGCCAGGATTGGCCTTGATGATTACTTCTCTCAAAGCAGAATTTAGATCCTCCAATTTCTGTTCAGTAGTTGTAATGAGTTGCATATGCTCTTTTGACCTTTCTGTAGAAGGCGTTTCCAATGCCTGGTTCATGCCAAAAGCCCCGAAAGAAATATCCAAAGGATCCAATTGTCGGTACAAGCTCCTTTCATCAAATTCATCCTCGATCACTTCAAGACTGTTCCTAGCATTATGGTATGTATACATACTTTCCGGACTTCCAGGAGGTATGCCACCTTGACGAGAATCATCCCCCCCTGAATCTCTCTTCGGGCCTTTATGCGTCATCTGAAGGATACCCGCCGTGTGCTTCAGCAATCGATGCTCCGGCTCAATCAACCTCTTTTCAAGAGACCATAACTCGGCTGCCAAGTCTTCACATTTCTTTTCACTGGCCGCACGCTCTATGTCAGCTTCCCGAACCTGATCGCTATTGCTCCTATTCCTATTTCCAAATATACCGCGTTTTTGTTTGTTGGCATCATTCAAATCCACACTCTTCTTCTTATCCGGATATAATTTTGTCATAGAACGAGCCGCATCGCGATATTTCGAGTGGACCACCAAATTTTGTCGCGCGGTTTGGATTCGTTGGTTCAGGGACTGGCATTGTTTCTTCAGGTCGTCGACTTCTTCTGGAGACAGAATTTCATACTCCCTCGCATCCCATAACGCTGTCTCCACTAATAAATGTACTTGTATAGGATCGTTGATATTGAGTAACATGGAGCTTTGCGGATGCGCCGTATTTACCTATGCCATGACAAAATATTAGTCTCTGATTCCCCCTCGAAAACCATTCGCACAACAACAATATGCAACTCACTGGATTGTACCGCTCTTGTGGCTCCTCAAAACCATTCAAAATATCCGCTCTGTAACCCTCCAAAACAATCGAAGCATCAGGGGCCTGAACATCATATCTTCTTCCAGCCGCAGCGTTCTTCTCCTTCACGAGCCCATCATCATAACCCCTCGATCTTCTATTCTCCTTCCTATCCTTATCCCTCGTTCTCTCCTGCCCATAATCATTTCCATATCCACCCTCAAAACCATCTCCCTGTTGTCCATCATGCCCTCCATAACCCAAATCCTGACTCGTCCTACTCCTATGCTTCCGCGGTTCTCTCTCCCCTCTACTAGGCATCCTCCCCTCTCTTATCTGCGGACCCTCTAACAATTAAATCTCCCTTCCTAGTATCTCCCCAAAATCTTCGTTGTCGCGAAGTCCGTCGGCAAAGCCCTCTGAAAAGGTATACCGAGCTGTATCGTCCAATCTTGTTTATCGCATAATCACCCCTCTAGTTCCCAAGTTCTCTCTCTTCTTCACAACCAAACTCTGCGCAATGCGACAACCCAAAAGTAGTTATCTCTCCTCCAAAACCAATAATCAAAAGGGTACAAAGGAAAAAACTCAAAAACCAATCGTCTCTTCAAAAAAAATCGTAGCTCGTTGCATACCTCAAAAAAACAACAACAACGGGAGAGCAAAGGAAAGTGTCAAGATAGGATAGGAAGCAAGAATCCAACGTCCCCTTTTCGGTTCCTGACTAAACTCAAAATGTCTTATCCACCCTGTCACTGTCCTAATGCGTTCAGTGATCAGCCAAGTATCCGGACACTATTCTCTGTAAAGCTTAATGTTATTTAGATACTACCTCTTCCTTGCGAGGGACCCTTGTTTCTCAATTGCAGATGAAGATCCTTACCTGAGGTACGAAATTGATAGTGCAAAAGTTCTCGAGAAATAATTCTCTCACGCAGAAGCAGAATGTTGAAGAATCGTGAGAAATTTGTTGGTACTGGTAGGTTACTCACTCACTCGATTACGGAGTACAGAAATCAGATCTCATCCCTCACATCTACAATTATCAGGCCATGCTGTACCAAGTGACCCGACCTTATCTCATCGCAATCATTGATAGGTAGGTAGGCACGATTGATCATATTAGGTACCTAGTATCTCACCAAGTACAAAAATAGGCAATTCCAGATCGTGGCGAAGCGGTTCCATAACCCATAACGGGTGGTCTACCAACCCAATGGTTTGTGGCTTACCTACTAGGTAGATACGCGATTTAGGGGCCCCGTCTGGATGGTAAATCAGATCTAGCAATTGGACTTGACTTGACGTCCATGCCATTTTCCGACAAGTTGATTCAGACTCAGATTGGAGATTGTCATAAGCGTTTTCCGTGTTACAGACAAGTGTCTATTCCATAGAGTATGGAGATCGCGTTACTGTGTCACCCAATCGACAATGCCTAGATCTCCCCATCCTTAAAAAGGGGGAAGGAATCGCGAAGGATCTTATAGTTTACATCCGACCATTCGACCATCTTCTTCCAATTCATACTCACTTCTTAATCTACATCACATCCAAAGCAAGATAAGATAGGATGCATTATCCAAGTCTTCTTGTGCAAGTAGATACTCTGAATTCGACCTTGTCGAGGGAGGGCCAAAGGCCTGGCTAGCCAAATGAAAATATTTTCAACCGAATTGTTGGTATTAATGCCCCTTGTTGGTATTACCTGCTTGTGTCTAGTTAGGCATTTCAAGACCATCAATTTCTGTTTGTCTTGGTTCTGGGCGTTTTCACCATTTCCATCATAATTAGTATCTACATGGCATGCAAAGTTGTAAAGGGTCTGATGAGCTCCTTACAAGACTTGACTACACGTCTACTAGACTCCAAAATGGGGTTAAGTCACACATCATCACACAAAAATACAAGATCCAATCTACCTAGTCACCTAAGAACTTTCATCATCGCAAGACAGCCCCGCAATATCATTGTAATTATATTTATGATTTTTTTGCTCCCGAAAATAACGCTATGCTATCCCACGCTATGCTACTTTTGGCCCTTTTCTGTTATCGTACGTTATAGGTATATCCAATCCCTCCAATCCCTCCTGTTCCGAAATACTCCTAAAACGCGCGTATTCCGAAAAGCGAACCATCCGAAGCCAAACCAAAATAAAGAGTAGAGTAGAATAAACCCCCAGCCATCACTCAACCACCAGCCCATCACCCAAACAAAAACTCCCCTAAAATGACTCCCAAAAGACGTCGCCCCAAGAAGCTCGCTCCAAAAAAAGCATGGTATCCTGAACCGCCCAAAGAAATCGCATGAAACCATGAGACCAATAAGATAAGATCCAACAGGAAACCATTCTCCCTGTGCACGACTTCTATCTCTTGAACATATAATGTCCATACATGCCACCCACCTCTGCTCTAGAAACTGGCACTTTTCTCATTCCCCAATAATTAGCTCCCCACTTCCACTGTCTTCCTCCATAGTCCTTTTCACCATCCCCAGTCTTATCGTCGCGAACCAACCAGTATCTTCGGCCTGCCTCTTTCAAGCACCAGCCCGCGCGCTTCACCAGAGAACTAGTATTCATGACTTTGAAACATTCTAGACCAATCTCGAGGACTTCAAGTGGTAGAGTATCGTTTCTCAGTATTGGACAACTGGAACCGAACAAAGTGCCTAGATCGAGTTGAGACTTTGAAAGATCTGAAACGTCAATGTAATGTAACGTGTGTGGAACCCAGGAAATTTGCTCTTCAATACTGGCATCTTGGTCTGGTACAAATAGTCGACGAATATCAGACAATACCAAGCCATGACCCAAACCAAGCTCCTCGAGATGCTTTGTAAGTGGCAGGAAGAGTGGAATGTGCGATTCATGCATCTCGCTGCCCTTGAGACTCAAAGATCGAAGAGTGTTGGGTAGGATGGGAAGTAAAGCTGTAACCTCAGAACGTTTGAACATTTCGTGGGATTTGATATCCGAGCCTAGGTTAAGGTAGACGAGCGATTGGACAGCTGGGTGTGTGCTGAGGAATTCGACTACCCGATCTCCTGAGAGGTAAGAACACTTGCTAATATTCAAATGCGTAAGCTTCGCTGTCTTGGGAATGGAGAAGAGGATGTCGTCTGTAATGCGAGTATGTGCGACATCGAGGTGAGTCAACTGCGGAAGTCGTGGAATGAGCGTCTCGAAGACTGAGGATGGCAAATTTGTGCATTCGTGGAAACTCAATCTGGTAATGGGCAGGACTCCCGGAATCTCACAAGTGTTGATGACCGTGGTAAAGGAGTCACGGAAAGAAGCTGATGAGCAAGCGCAGAAATCCAATGCTTGAATGTTTGGTAACTCGCACAGGAGTTTTTGAATGACCTTTGCATCCATGTCATCATCGATATGCTCTTGGCTCAAAAATTCCCGTAAGTTTGGAGTTAGGGACAGACATTCGAGAAGTGTTGCAGGAATCAAGTTCAATGTCTCGGCGCGCTGTCTAGCAGTGAGACCAATGCCTGTTGGGTTGAAGTGGGAGAAGTCCAATCGTCGAACGATCGTGCCTAGAGCCGGGTACTCTCTGATATGAGCCAGAAATTTACGGAAGACTCGAGAGTGTGGGATAGTAATCTTCGTATACAAAGAAGCTAGAGTCGCCGAATGCATCGCGTGCGATGTCAGGAGAAGAGACATCAAGTCAACATTACGTGGTGTGATTCCGCCTGGAGGAATATCGGTAACAAGCTGATCAATGATAGCGCCTGTTGACGTTAGCACTATACCCAAAGTCATCATAGGCATACGTTGAACCTCAAGCTCCTGACAATCCACAGGATTATTATGGAGTTGTAGATAAAGCTGTTCCCAGATGTCCCCGAGGAACTAGAGTCATGTGACTACATCATCACCCGTACCCTGAGGGCCGATTCCTTGGAGTCGATTTGGGCGAGCAGGCGCGTTCGTATTGTAAATATATATCCAGTAATCCGGTTGGTGGAATTTATCACAAAGGGAAGTAGCTTACCAAGTAGTTCCGCAGGTAGCATCTCTATCGGAGACTTTCCAGAAATAGCGACGCCGACTTCTTCCACCACCAGCTGTGTCTCTGGCTTCAACACCGGCTCAGGATTAGCCTTTGGCTCATAGTCACTGTCCCATCCCCAACCCATTTTCATGTTCCGTAAATCACTGTAGCTCTTACTTGCAATCTTACCACGTACTGCAATTTGCTTCCAGCCTCGGAAGCCATCGCAAGGGCAAACGAGTCCATGAAGAGTGCTGTGAGGGTTGGTAGACCACAACGTTTGCATTTCGGGCTCAACGGCTTCTGGGGGCGTTCTCGAGCCGCCGCTGCTGGTATCGTCAATGGCGATTTCGTTCTCGTTCTCGTTCTCGTTACTGTCGACTTCGTACTTCAGGTAAGAGCTAACCTTGGAATCCGTGAAAGATTGAGGCACGCCCGAAGTATTTTCTTTTACACTTGAAAAGCTGGTCCTGTCTCCACGATCAGACATTGGAGGTGTTATTGAATGCTTGCGAGAAATTAGAGTAGGAGCTGATTTCATCGGCCTGGTTGGCAGTGGTACGTTTGAATTTGCCACAGCCATATTGGATGGGATGTATGCTGCACGCGACCTGGAGGTGAGGGGAATCTTTTACAAGAATATATGATTTTGAATCCCGGTGGTTGGGATGAATTCAACGAGGGAGACAAATAGACGGTGAATAATCGACAAGCCAGCAAGTCCTATGATTCTTTTTTTCTTTTTCTTTCTATTTCTTTTTCTTAATAAATATTAAAAAAAATGTGGTTGCACTCGCACTGTACAGAGGTTGATCAAAGGAAGAAAAAAAAGAGAGAGGAAGAAAAACTCTTAGTCACGGATTGTCTATTTCGTAAGAGAATTCCCAAGCACAATTTTAATAATATGCGGGGGAAAATAGAGGGGTTCTTTATGACACACGTTCAAAGATTTTCGATGTGACTAGTAGGTAGGTAGGTAGGTAGGTAGGTAGGTAGGTGAAAGGGATTGTTCAATCAATGGCCAGAAAATGGATGATGATTTGAAGGAATATAAAAAAATTAAATGTGGCCTTGACTTTTTCGAGTTGTATTTTATATGGATGGATGAATGGTGTTGGGTTGGTGGATGGATGGTGGTGTGTTGCATATGTGCAGGTGCTTAAGTGCTTATGAGGTGCTTAGGTGCTTAGGTGCTTAGGTGCTTAGATGCTTAGGTGCTTAGATGCTTAGGTGCTTAGATGCTTAGGTCGGTGCGTGCTCAGTTAGTTGCGTTAAAGCCTTTGATTACTGATTCCGGTAGAGATATCA